TATCTAGTACACTACACTCATGTCACCACCAGTTTTACTCCGAATTTTACACATCTTACCAAAACATTTTCCCCATCCTCTCCTCCATTTCCACATACTCTGCATAATCAATCTTCCTCTGATCATAATATCTTTGCTTTCATCACATTGCCTAATCTATGCCTTGGAACAGATCTCTTACTTTATTAGTAGATTTCCTCCTCAAATAAATGAATAAAAGGCTTGGCCAACATTATTATTTTTTAAAAGCAGTTTTTGATGGTTTAGCCATTATCATCAGTTACCTGATACAACCATAAAATCTAAAAACAAAAACAAAAAAACCTTCAGTAATGATCCAGTAAATAGACAAAGAAAGAGAATTAGAAATTTTGAATCCTAAACTAACATCTCCTCTTCCTGTACGTATTTATAGTATTTTTCCATTTTTCTATTAATCTCTTGCCCCTCCTTCCTTTATGAAATTCTGAAGTTTTTGTTTTTATTATATTTTATGTAATCCAGGGATATAACTTACCAACTAGCAATAGCACACTCACAAGATTTTGATAAGAATGACTTGCAAATCATACAAAACAATTTTTCCATAGTTTATTACAATCAGAAAAATAATGTTTATATTCCTTGCTTATTATCAAAATTGACTGTGCTGACTAGACCAAGTATGGGTCGTGATCATTAAAAACATTAAAAGGTTAAATTATGAGATAAGTATTTTTACTTATGTGATTAATATAAAAATTTACTGGTAAGAAGAAAAGACAAAGGAACATTAAATCTCAAAGGATAAACTTTTGAAACGTAAGTAATTTTCCCAAAAGATTCTGTAGGAATTTCTACCAGGAAAAAAGCACAAGTATATGTTCACGAATATTAAAAAATTAGCATTTGGCATAAGCTCCGTTCTGATCCTCTTAATCCATAATACAAAAAGAAAAAATAAAGAAAATAATAAATCAACAACAATGAACTAATACATTAATATGTTTACAGGATGGTGCTGGAACATCATTCCTCAATTATGTGACTGTTCCTGTGAAAACTGATTCAGTGTGCAGACGAAGCTACCAGATGTTGCCAACTTATCCAATCTGTGCAGGAGAAGCAAACAGAGACTCATGTCAGGTATGTTATTCAAAACATTTTTATGAAGGAAAATCAAGAGTGGAGTAAGGAAAGCGTGTTTCAGAAATCTAGCAACCACACCAATGGAAAGTCTCTTTAAATCTTTACAACTTTGCCTTTCCAATGATAAATATGTTAGAGGAGTCTCCAGAAAGTATTTCAGGGAGGGAAGGTGGTCAATTTTAGTTCAAATCTCAAAGCCTACGTATCTTACAAATTTTAATTTATTTTTATTTTGTTAACTTGAAAAAAAAATGCACACAAGTTTGAATTCTTGACGTGGTGAGGTCTGGTTATTGTTGTTATTATTGTTATTATTGTTGTTATTATTATTGTTATTATTATTGTTATTATTATTATTATTATTATTATTATTATTATTATTATTATTTCATTAATACAAATTATGGTTGAGAAATGTTCATTAAAACTGTATACAATGTAAAGCAGAAGAATCTTTTTCAAATGGTGAAACAATTATTTTAAAAATTAATATAATAATTTTTAAGAAGTAACTGCTTTATAAGAGTTATGAAACAATAGTACAAGAGTGTATTTTAATAAAAAAGAGAAGTTTAAATGAAGATACTACCTTCTAACAAGAGTATTTGCACTCAAAGCATGATAATCTTTGGGTTGGTGAAAGTTATTGTTATCATTCAGAAGGAAGTTTAGAGGTCTTGCAAGCTACTAAGCAACAAGAAAAGTAGATCTACCAAATTCTAAGAGAAATAACAAAAAAATTAATATATAAAAAGAGAAAATGAAAGAAGTGCTAGTAGATCTCAAATTAGTTTAACAATGTGAGGAGAAAAACTGATAAAACAGGTTGAGAGGCTTTTTTTCAAAAACAAATAGAAAACTACACTTGTTAATGTTTGACTCATTCATATGATGGAAGTACGTGTATTTGACTAGTTGACAATGAAGTTTTATGATATGAACAATTAATTGATTGCATTCAACAATTACTTATTCTAGTAGCAAAAAAACAACAACAAAAAAAAACAAAAACAACTTAACCTATATATACATCTCATCAATTATTACTGCTTAAAATAAAATTGTTTTGAAGGTAATTTTTTTCTTTTATATATATTTTTGGGGCAAAAATAAAGATTCTCTAACATTTTCTCTAGAAACTGAAATGTGATTTATGAGACAGAATTTGTTATTGATTATTCATATATGAAGCATATTGCATTGTAAACTCAAATAGTGTATCATTTTTTCAATGATTCTACATTAGTTCAAAAATGAATATGAAATTAATGTAACAACAGGGAAAAATAACTTATGAAAAGTTGCTAATAAGAGAAAAAGTACATTATCAAATACCGTTAAATATTGTTCGCATTGATTGTATCAAATTTGTGCAAAATTTTCAAGATATTTGCAGCACACTACAAACATGATTTAAGAAACACAAAGTAATTATACATCTTAGCCACCATTTTTTAATAAATATCCTTCTGAAGTTTTGAATATGGGATCATAAGTTGTTTACCTAATCAGTAAATTTAACCAAATCAATTTATATGAAATTGGATATTTTATTAAAGGGTTTCACAATATTTTCATCTAAAATTATGGAATTTCTATTAAGGAAAACTTCGACATCAAAATCATTTTTTCACTAATTTTATAGATATGTCTTTATTATTGGCCACTTTTCAGGAGAGCAAGCACTGCAAAATCATACTGAAATCGTTTTATGATATATTAAAATTGAAAGGCTATTCGTTCAAGGCCAGGGTTGTCCAACTTGTGGCCTGGAGGCTGCATGCGGTCTGTGAGAAGTTATTAGACGAAAGTTAAAGTCTCTTTCATTCATGTTGAGCGAAAACATTGTGAGTGTAATGCACACTCCCTGCCTGAGCCAAACTACATAATATTAAATTTTATTGCAAATGTAGTGGGATAAGTTCAGATTTAAGTTTTTTTTATTTTTTTAAAAATTTTTTTAGCATATTCACAAATTCAAAATTACCCAAATGTTTTTCACTACCTTATGTGTGGTATGGCCAAATATCACACATGGTTTCCTTCTCATCCCATTTCAGAGCAGCCAAGTTAAGTTCCGATATCAACAATAGGGGGAAATCAGATATGGATCACCTATGTAAAGAAAATATGGTCTGCCAACATATTAAAAGTTTTAGTTGAGGCCCTTGAGGCTTTGCAAGTTGGACATCACTGTTATTCTCTACATTATAAAAAATTTCAGGGATATTAAAACTATAATATTAAATAACCTCATGTTATTTTTCAGGGAGATAGTGGTGGACCACTTATATGTAATGGGATGCAAGCTGGTATTGTCTCTTTTGGAATTAAGTGTGGTCTTCAACAATATCCAGGGGTATATACTGATGTGTCAGCATACTTGAAGTGGTCTGAAGAAATAAAAAGTAGAGACAGTGCCTTAAATCTCTCCCCTTCAGTGACATTTATACTCTTCTTCTCATTGTCAATAATAATGAGGGGAAATATATGAAATTATTTGTGCATGGTAAATATTCTTATTTCCACCTAAATATGTGTTCCTATCGACTAGCCTTTCCAATTAAGTTTTTAAGTGATTAGAAACAGTTTAAGACCATAATTTAAGAACTTGACTGGGTTGGAATCCTTTGACAACAATACAACATTATTCTTTATAAATATCATTTTGAGACATGAAATGTTTCTCTGGCTGGAAAAGACTCAACATTCTCTATACTTCTTTTCCAAATTTTATTATATTTCTGCAATTTTGTTGCACAAAAAAGTTTTTTTCAGTTTTATGATGAATCACATATCTAACTAAGAAGTCTTTCTCAATTTTGGAATGATTGTTACTTAAAAGGTATTACATTTTATTGCTTGTAATAAAATATTTATGTTGTTTATCCCAAATGTATGATGATCATTAAATACAATATAATTATATTGTTAACTTGGATTACTTTGACACTGACTGATATATAAAAATTAAATTTAATTTGAAAATGTATTTATTAATTATGTTTAGAAGAAAAATATAACTTTCACATTTCATTACTTCTTGTGGAATTTATACTTTATCACAAAGATAATAATGGCTTTTAAAATTCAATAATTGGATATTTCCTGAGTGAATGAATTGTGTATAACTGAAATGGTTTTGTAATAAAATGCTACAATCCAATTATTCTGTAGTTGCATGGTAAAAGTTCTTAAGTATACCGGTATGGATCTTAGCTAAGAGCTTAGAAATGTTTATCTCGCAACTAGTGTCTTTTCTTTAATACTCTACAATAGTACAAAAAAACTTTCTTTGCAACTATCTTTTCAGGTAATAGACACTTTGATACACTACAAATATGATAAAACAAATCAAAGAAAAATTTCCTTAAATGTGACTGAAAATTACACACACGATCTTCAACATGGAAACTATGCTTCTAAAAGATCATAGTAGAAAAGTTAAATGTAATGAAAAAATGTATTCTAACAATTAATGGTGTCAACTAAATTAAAAAGGTATTAATATTGGTAGTAGTTGGTTTAGATACCGTTAGTTGAATTCATCCAGTTAACATTTAAAACAAAGTTCATTATCAAAATAAAAATCAATGTATGTCATTTAGTCACTATGAGACGTTTTCAATTTGACGTGATCAAAAAGTTAATAAGACTTTCTGTTGGATGTTTAAATCTATGAAAAAGCAATATCTGCTCATTTTGAGGTGTTGGAAATATTCTGTTTTATTATTGGATACATTTTTAAACATATTAGATACAAAATTTAATGTTAATCAGTGGAATATTGGTCAGCGTGCATAATAAAAACAAACAAGAAACATATAAAACTATGTTTACTTCAAAACATTTTGATGAACTACAAAATCAGAAAAGTTTTATAAACACAAGTTACATTTCATAATTCCTTTCATTTCCTTTCTTCATATGTAAAAACTGGTGAACATAGTTTGTTGTTACCTTTTCTCTTTTTGAGTTTCACATAAACATTTGACAGTCTGAATTCTTGAGCATTTATCAGAATTATTAAATACTATGATATTAGATGTATTCGCTAATTATATTTGTACGAAAATAAAGCATACACTCTATTACTTCTACAGTAAATATTAATGTTAATACATTTAAAAATAACACATTTTTATCACTTAGCACCACATCATTCATCCAACAATACACAAACACAATTGACAGCTATACACACCAAACACCTTCTACACAACGATAGCTATTCAATTCATTTTACGACTACCTACACAAACTTTACACTACACTTAAATAAATGAAAGAAAATGACTGGCTCACTGATCCAGATGAGCATCCAGCCAGTGCTCCATGTCTGGTAGATTCTCATTGCTCCATTCTGCTTCTTCTTTTATTGTCTTCAATGCCTCTTCAACAATAGGTTCTGCAGGGCCAAATTGTCCCATGCGTGACACATAGAGCTCAGACACCTGTAAAAATTCAGCCTTGTCATTTAATTTGTTTTGGAATCAATATAATTAGATAGAGAAAAACGGACGAGTATGTCCTTTAAAGAGAAAATGCTCATCCATAAATTACCATAATTAGTTTCTAGATTGGTTATAGCACGCTTTTCCTTTTAAAACTGCATTAAATTACTAATTAATTAGGATACAAAATAAAAGTTATCAGACGTATTTTATTTTGGAATATAATATACATTACTAATAAATGTGCAGTTAAGAACTGAGAACTAGAAACTAGTACCTATTACACTATTTGCAATGAAAAGACATGAGAAACACAAACAATTGCTTTAATTGGTTTAGTTTTTAACTAGTTTCAGCTTTGTATGTGGTATTACCAAACATCTCTAAAAAAAACTTGAGTCTAGTTAATAGAAAAATATATAAATTCACTTATTCTTAATAAAAAATGTTGACGTAATACTTTCAAAAAGTGTGAGAATAAATTATACTGTAAAAATATTAAAACATTATTTATTTTTAGGTTTAAGCAAGACCTTTGACCTGGTAAATTTGACTTTGGTACTTAAAACAAAAATTGGAAAGTCTTGAAATAGAACTAAAATGGTTTAATTCATATCTTAATGACAGAATGCAGTATATGAAAATAAATAGGATAAGTGAGCGACAACTTAGCAGAAAAGATGCATTCCAAGCAAAACCAAATGCAAATAGTTAGCTCTAGGTAAATCAAATAAAAGTACCTTGTACAAGCAACTACAAAAAGTATGTTGAAGAAATAATTCTTTGCAAAACAACTCACTATGCTGCTGACACAAATATTCTAGTACGAGTACAGGGTACGGATGAACTATGAGTAACTTCAAACAATAAAAAGTATTCTATCGTGATATTATTCAAGAGCTCCAATTCTTGGTTAGAAGAAAAAATTAATTGGAAACCTCGAACACATTATCTAAGTAGAAAGCTCCATAAAATATGTTTTGCTCTTAAAACCTTAATAACCATAGAGACAAAAACGCATCTCTCTAATATTTTATTTTCTTTCACTTATGTGTCACTTATGACATGGAATTACATTTTGGGAAAATTCCAAAATCCAAAAGAATTTTTATTACACAAAAGAGGATAAGGGGTCATCCATAAATTATGTAATGTGGATTTGGAGTATTTTGAATATCCCTTCTCTCTCCCTGCAATACAAGCTTGAACTTCCTGTAACGCAAGCTTGAACCTCCTGTAATGTATGCTTGTGTCAACACATCCCCATTTACAATAGGTACACTAAAATGTATAAAAATAAAAACAATTCATTTTAATTTAATTATTCTCTTAAAATATTAAAATTGATGGTAATAAAGTCAGAATTATTTGGAATTCTGACTGCACCTGACAATCAGAGCGAGTACAATTCTCAAGTGAAGGCGGAATGTGTACGGAAGAAAATTTCTGAGAAGCTGGGTACATGCCTTTCTTGATCATGCATGGACAGAAGTCTACAGCACTAATTTAATTGGATTATAGAATCTATTAAAAATGAGATATGATTTTTCTTACTTCTAACAGATTCAACCAATATATCATTGTTGAAAAAATATCTCCATTTACTGTAACAATTTAGCAACAAAACTTTTTTAATTAAAAAAAAATTGTTAATATTTTAGTGTTTTGTTTTAGTATAGACCGAATAAAAGGAATTATTTCAACAAATGCTGAATAATAAAAAAAATAAGGTTACATAACACTACTTACATAATTAAAGGTTACATAACACTACATACATAATTATCATTATATAACAATAAACTAACTCCCCCAACTATACAATGAAGCGTAATGTTTTCTAGAATCCCCTCCTTCATTCTCTAGCATTATATAATTTATTGAAAATGCATATTTAGAATACTAGATATACAATTATTAGTAAAAGTAGGCCTTTGTTGTAAATATTTGCAAAATAAATTAAGTACTAAAAATTGATTGTCTTTCAAAATATACAGTATGGAATTTTACCTCAAAATAGGTGTAATTTTCCTTTATCCTGAAAAACTCCATACATGTTATGTGAAATATTGTCAAATATGAACAAAAAAGCTGTGTTTGTTTAAGAAAAATCACCTCATAATTTTTAAAATTATTATTATTCATTCTATGTCAGGCAGAAAATCTATCCTTACTGAGAAATAGGTCTTTAAATGCTACATTAAAAATATACAACTTATAGTACAAGAAGAGGTGATTTTGAAATTCTAACTTACGTTTCACACATTCCAATCCTCTTTCATAGAATGGTGCGTAAAGACTTGACTGAAGGGGGCAGTATAAAAAATGCTCTGACATAATGAAATAAGAGTTGCTTTCAATTTTAAAAATGTATTGGTTGACAACAAATCTTTTATATTATTATATTCATAGAAATCTTAAACTTTAAATATTTCAGGATTGCGAAGAAGTAAATTTAAGCCAGAGCTGGAATTTTGTCTCATAGCTGCCGAACACTGTATTCAAGTAAGAAATTTACTTTTTTCTTTAAAGATTATTTTATTTTTCTAAATTTATTAAAAGACACTTGTAAACATTTCAAATTCTTGTCGAGGCTTTAAATGTTTTTCGAATTTAGTAAGAAAATGCATCCCATCACTTGTAATTTCTTTCTTCCACAGTATAAGACACAGAATAAACATCTAGGGAAAGTAAATTGTAGAAAACATCTCATAGCAAAAAAACTAGCAAATTATGGTGTTGACAGGTTTACCTATAACGGGGCTGGCAACTCAACAACATAGCGCGGGCAACTAGTATCAATCTTACCTACGACGAAAATTATCTAAAAAACGGCAATGAAATATACTTAAATTTCGTAAGTGATTGAAACGTTAAAAACACTGGGCATTTAACTACTTTGGTTCCATCATGTCGTCATTTCAAAGAAAACGTTCAAAAATTCGACAATAACTACAGGTTGTTTTGGGGTAGGCTAATTCTGTTGAGCAGCACATTTAACACTTACCAAGTCCAACCCTTCTTGGGTTTTGAAGTTGGAAAGTGCTCTTGAAACAAAATATTCCCACATACCGGGTTCTTCAGAACAACTAAAAACAGATCAAACAGAACATAGAATAACGTCAATTTTCTCTTTAAACAGAAGAAACTGAAAACTTCCAATGAGTGATTAAAATTGGGGACAATAGAATGGTACAACGGGCGACCTTGCGTCAGTATATTTAAAATCGAAAAAACAACAACAATGCGATAGAGTAATTAACTACTGGTAAAGTAAATTGAACAATTACACGTTGGTTAGTGTAGTTTATTACTCACCGCTCTTTGACAGCGTCCCAATGCTCTGAGAGGAAACTGAAAAGTGCGGCGTGGCCATAAGCGTTACCAGAGAGCACGTTGGCAATATTGCGAACGTCAGAAATAGTGAAGTTACTGTCCGTTTCCAGGATGGATGCATTCAGGATCCTAGAAAAGAGAATCGTTCCATCACAAAAAAATCACAGAAATTGTAAAAGTAATTCGGTACTGATCAGTCCATTCAGATTGTTTAGGAGGAAAAAAAGACCGAGATATATTTGCCTTAGGAATTAAATGCACTTAATCTAAAAAAATGAAAGTTTGTGGGGATGTTATCTTTTCTAAAACGTTTTTGCTCCTGTAGGAAGCAAAATACCTTTTTCGAATGCGGGGTCAAAATCCCCTAGTTGAAATAGTTGACCTGGCTACATTTGCCATTCGAATTTCTCTCTAGGGCGTTTTGTCCAGCCGACAGGCGGTTACCCTTTGCGATCCGATAGGACGCATATTTGACCGTACACTAGACATTAACTCGCGAGACTACACGACAACACATACATGAGAGACAAAAGACAAACTACCATTCTCAAGGCGGGACTCAAACCCGCGACACTTCGAACCGAAGCGCTGAGTCAGTACACGTTCTTAGCCATCTTGGCCATTCAAGCCGGCCTATTCGAATTTGAAACGAATATTTTATTTTTTAGGATTGTCTACTTTATATGAGCCCCAACATTTTCGAATATTTCTTAGGAATGATTCCATTTTTAATTTTTTTTCTGGAATAGAGTATTGTAGGCCCTGCGCTTATAAACATTTCAGGTCCATATTCAAATATTGCTTGTGGTCGCGCCCGACCTTGCCAACCGGCCGACAGAATTGCAGTATCCTCGCTGTTCACAAACGATGACCTCCAGAGTCTTCATAGCACTCCCAGTCTTGGAAGTGCCCGGTGAAGTACAAGCTGAGGCAAACTTGGAAAATTACTAAAGAAAAGAAAAATCACTAGCTACCAAAATCTATACTTCCGAGGCAACGATGTTCACAATGGACCGTAGCAGAGTCTCTTTATCTTCGTGTAAGGAGTTACTGTTTCGTCGTTTAGGAATTTTATTATCAGCAAACTCTAAGTAATTGTAGTTTTGTTTTTTATCGCTCATGGGATGGCAAAAAAATTCGAAACCACAACGCGAAATCACAACGTGGAAATTGGACTATTCTTTTACCGCGAGATTCATAATTATTTCAGTATGTTAAATGTATATAAAAAAATTTTATCGGAGAATCATAATGAATGTTGAACTAGTTCTTAAACAACCGTCACTATTATTGGTTTCTCAGCGAAAAGGACCGGAAGTTAGAACATATTAGAAATAATACCTTTGCCGTACCTCGAAAATTGAAAATATTTTAACACAAACCTACAAAAAATATTGCAACCTATTTCAAAATACATAAAGTATTATTTCTTAAATATAGGTCCCAAAAATGTTCCTTCAATTATTTTGCAATGTATTTTAGGGTTCATAGTTGCCCCCCCCCCTCCGGACATTCTCCGGATTCCGGAATAGCATTAAAATGCGACTGTTACACATTCCGCGAGAAATATTTCACTCGGTCATCGTAACAGAGAAGGGAGGAGGCTACACTCTCAAAAACATCGACTTCCTAGTTTTCGACAGGCTGCTTGAGCGAAAAAATTTGATCTTCATTTCTCAGAAGTTGTAATTTTCGGCATGTAAGAAACATTTCCTCAGTTTCTATAAATCCTATTCACTCCAATTTTTTTTATGAATGTAACCCATGTATACGCATACTTTAACTGAAGAATTTTCAAAAACGTAATTATTCAGTACAATACCAGTCGAAATTTTGCAATTTTTCGGAACACATTTTCAAAAATACATATTTTCCAATACATTACTGATTTCACAAAAAGGTCTCATTAAAGTGTGTAACAAAGATGAGATACTTTGAGAGAAAAATTGAAGAAGATAGCGTTAATAGTTTCTGAGAAAATCTTCCTCTGTGAAACCATAATTTAACATGGGTGAGATATGCCTCTACCGCGTGCTCTTAACGGTTGTCGAGTGCACAGATATCTCGCGCAAACGCTAACGGCCTTCGAGAAGGTACAAAGAGATCTTGCGAATGGGGCTTACGCCCGCCAGCTCGCAAGCCCGCCAGGGCCTTGGAACTCATCGAAATAGGAGGCAAAGCTAGAGGGTGCTACTGTAGGAGGCGCTAGTCTCGCCGGGTTACGCTCGCCAACTTTCGGGCATAAAAATTGGTTCATTTGGAAAATATACGAAAGGTGTTTTCTGAATGTTCAATTATACATGATTATAAAATTGTAGGTCCTACAACGCGATCTAAATTTTTTTATTAATTTAATAGAAATAGTTATAAATTTATAATATAATTTAATGATCATTTCGGAGGTACTGGATAGCCGTTTCGTCGCGCTCCGCCAGAAGTCAAGCCACTGTATGTATGTATGTATGGAGAGAGAGAGAGAGAGAGAGAGGGAGAG